CCTGCCATTTCCCACCTTGATATTTAGGAAATAAATCTTCCTGGGGGATGATAAGTTTCCCGGCTGGGGATAGCAAAGGGTGACGATGAGCAGAGCGGCCGGCCAGCGCCGAAGGAGCTCGCTCCTCTGAAAGGGAGGATTGTTTCCAGCTGATCCGTGAGCTGGGGCGGATAAAAGTGCCGTGGATGGCTGTGCCCGGCCGCCGGGTCAGAAAAACGAGGATGCGTGACTGCGCCCCGAGAGCCGGCCCTCGCCACCGCACCAACGAGCGGAGAGACGCCGCTGCGCTTGGAACTGTCACCCCAAAAAGGCAGCGGGAGGCACGTCCACCCTACATACGGGTTTTGTGTCCCCGGTTTTATAGGTTAGAGGGGCAAGCGTAGAAAAAAGATAAGATTAAACCTAAGTATCGCTGTCGCCCTGCCATGAAGTTACGTGTCCTTCTGGTCAGGGCAGATTAGCTTGGAGGATTCAATGAGTTAATTCCCTCACCTCGAGAGACCTTGGTGACCAAATCCTGCCCCGGGCTCGGGAAAATGAAGAAGGTGGTTTCACGTAGCCTCTCCAGGAGGATTCTTGGTACCACGTTCGATGGGAGAGATGCTGATCTCTGCAAAGGGAACCTGACGTGCCAGGACTCGCTGAGACCGTGCTGGCAAAAGCAGTTGTTGTTTTGAGGCTTAAGTTGCACCAGCATCCCACAAAACCCCAAATTACAGAGGTGCGGGGAGCGGGGGGAAGGATATATTTCTAAATCTGTAGCGGAGATAATTACTAGAAACTTGAGTCATACTTAAAAGAGACGGAGTTTATGTCACGCTGCTGTGAAAGATTCCAGCCTTCCCCAGCGATGGGTTGTTTTCACTTGTGTTTCGGTGATTCAGTCATTAAAAACCACCACTAAGAATAGAAAGTCTTTGGTCTGGCTGGGCTAAATATGGAGACCGGGGGGGCTAAAATGAATGCAAACGTGCTATTTGCCTCCTTTTTAAAAGATCTGGGAAAAACAAAGTGTTGCACAAGTGCCCCTCGTAGCTGGATGTGGCCGTGACCGTACCTGCTGCGGTGTGCTTGCAGCCCTAATATACTATTTTTTTTTCCTATTTTTTTTCCCCCCCTCCTGTTCCTTAAGCCTCCCCTATGAATACCTGGGGGCTGAAAGGCTGGAAACGCACCCGCCGAGATTGCAGGCTGGAGTAACACTTGTGAAAAATTCCCCATCTCTAGTTTCCATGGCTGCGCTGGTGTCGAATGTTGTCTTTTTTTTGTTGTTGTTTTGCTCTTATTTTTAGCGATTTGCAGTTTTCCGTGGTGTTTCTGGAACATCTGTTAAACTGTGGATGTTTTTATCCTCTTACAGACGTGGCTGGATCCTGCCAAAGAAATAAAAAAACAGGTTCATGGTGAGTAGATGGAATTTTTCGTGTGGGTGCGGGTTCTTTCTCCCCTCTTCCCAAAATAAGTGTCGCTTCGGCGGCCGATCCGGGGGAGGTCCAAGGATGGGTGAGAGTTCAAGATGAGGGTTTCTGGAAGTCAGCACAACTTCAAGCAGCCTGGGCATCCTTTCCCTTCTTCTTAAGTACTTAGTGATGCTCTAGATTTAGGAAAAAAATGTAATTTCTTTGGAAAAACGGAGTAGGTTGGGGGGGTGCTACCGCGGGATGCTCCCTTTTGGAAATTGGGAAATGGGTGTCTGTGGGAATTGTTTAAATCCCAAAGGCAGACGGGGAGAGCCCGCACAGAATTTATGGATTCGGAGGTTGTTTTGGGCTCCAAATGCTGAGTGACTCGAGTAGTATCAGGGCAAATGCCAGATGCTCGCCAGACTTGTATTTGAAGGTCTGCTAGGACTGGATTAGTTCAAGATGAGGGCGCTGTCAAAGCTAAATAAACTCGAGAGGCTTTTATTTCCTCTCAGGAACAAGTCTGACTGCTTTGGAAGTAAAATAGTGGTTTTTGGAACATAAATACTGGTTTTTTGGAAGTAAAATACTGTTTTTTGGAAGTAAAATACTGGTTTTTGGAAGTAAAATACTGGTTTTTTGGAAGCAAACCCCTACTTTTCAAAAGTAAAATACTGCTTTTTTTGAACTAAAACACCATCTTACGTATGCTTTTGGTGGGGAGCGCAGAAGAGAGCGTGTCATTAAGTAGAGAGCAGGGGAGAGATGCCACGGGAATAGGAAAAGCTCCTGCTCTTCCCAGCTTCTCTTCGAATTGATAACGGGACGGGGGTGAAGGGCATGAGCTGCTCCGGCAAAATTCAGCTCATTAAGTGTAACAAGCAACCTGCTGTGGAGTGTGATCCCCTGAGATGGCAAATTATTTGAGTTTTTTGAATATATGTTGAACACCCATGTGTGCACGCCCATGGGTGTTAGCTCAGGTGACCTCCGCGACCTAAAATATCTGCTCGGAATAACTTGTTTTGAAGCGAGCGTGATGAAAACAACACGCCTCGCCTTTAATCCCGGCGATGGCGTTGCATAAGAAGTAAATCCACGCGTGCTACGTGTCCCCTCTTCCCTGCTTTGAGATTGCCGTAAATCTCTGCTCAGGTTGAGCGCAGGGCTGGCTTCTCTCTCCGAAATAAATATAATTTTGAACTAGCGTTGAAGGGCACAGCGGGCAGGAGGGGGCGAGTTTAACTGGGAAAATGACTTTGGGTGCTTGATGGGTCAGTCAGGACTTTTTTCTGCGGGTAAACACGTTTATTTTTGAGAAAAGGAGGGAGTGGTGTCACCTAGGCTGTCCACACCACGTGTAAACGCCGGTCCGAGGTGTGATGATGCTCGACGATGCTCTCCAAGGTTTGCAACAAGCCGCGTTCAAGCGTTTAGGTCTGGACTTGGAAAGTTCTTCCTTGTCTCGGTTTCTTCTGGAGGTTGATGCTGGTGTTGTGCTGAGTTTAAACCACGGTCTGGCCCTTAGGCTGCGGAGGGAAGGAGCGCATCTGCTCTTTACTCGAAATTGGAAAATTGGGTCGAGCGATAAAGCAGCACCAATTCATTAACTTAGAGCGCACGCCTGACCTCTCTTTGTGAAGCCTTCTTTTCAATCAATGAAAAAAACATGATTAATGTAGCCTCTCGGCAACGCATTTAATTTTGTACCACAAGTTGTGGTTTATCCACGTGCATTTACCTGCCCTGCTTTGTTTTCTCCTGCTTCTATCTTAGCTCTTGGGAACGAAACGATCAGCTGAGCAGCGGTGAGCCGTGCGAACGAGCAGTCTTAAAATCAGCGTTATGGTCTGATCTTTGAAGATCAGATTGAATATTCCCAGCTTTCGCTGGGGGACTGACTATCCCGAAGCTGTCAGGTCCCTTTTTCTCAACCTCTTCTTTGCAATTGCAGGAGGCCCCTGGGATTTTACCTTCAACGTCAAGTTTTATCCACCGGATCCTGCGCAGCTGACAGAGGACATAACCAGGTGAATTACCTGAGACTCTTGCTGCCTTCCTCAGCAAAACAGGGAATGTTAGATAGCAGGTTTTAACATTTGGGTGTTTTTCCGTCCTTCAACAAGGAGATCAGATGCCTTCATGGTTTGGAGAGGGTTTTGTTTGTTGGTTTTCAGTGAATGCTCCCGCTCGCTGCTGAAGTCCATGTGTGGAAGCAGTGTCCTGTATAATCCTGGCTTATGTTTGAATAGAAAAATAAGGTTTTATTTAAAACCAAGGTTTTCTGATCATAAGTATCCTTTCCAGAGTGAAGGTGACCTTAAGTCCTCCTGTCCCCCACACTCTTTGCTGTGACCCCATAAGTAAAAACGTGGGTGGAAATTAGAAACGGGCATCACGCCGCGTTCACCAGTGACATCAAAAAAAGAGATTCTCTTTGATCCTTGAGTTTCTTCGGTTGCTCTGCGCTCGCCGTAAATAGGATTTTGCCTTTTCCCCCGCCCCCCAGGTATTACTTGTGTCTCCAGCTCAGACAAGACATCGTGACGGGGCGGCTGCCCTGCTCCTTCGCCACTTTGGCTCTGCTGGGCTCCTACACGGTCCAGTCCGAGTTGGGAGACTACGACCCCGATCTGCACAGCCCGGATTACATCAGCGAGTTTAAATTGGCCCCAAACCAGACGAAAGAGCTCGAAGAGAAGGTTGTGGAGCTTCATAAATCATACAGGTAAGGCTGGGCGGCTGGAGGGCTTCTTTTGTGCGCAGAAGCCGGAAATAATGGAAATATTTGTGGTGTTTTCCCCAGCTCTGTTGGACACTTTGGGTTTCCTGCTGCACCATTTTTTTTCATGCTGGCAACAGCAGCTTTAGGAGTAAGGTGTGAATTTTCAGCGACCGAGGACATCAGCTTTTCAAAAAAGATCTGATACTTTATAACAGAATCTTTCTAGAAGCCAGAATTCTTTTTTCCTGCGTGAAGAAGTAGCTGTGTTTTTTAGAAGGCAGACGTGGGGTCCTGCAGTTGTTTATTAACAGGTGCTCTTCTTCAACAGTATAGGCGTGAAAGTAGGTTTTATTTCATGTGGAAATACAAAGTTTGATTGGTTTAAGTTGCCCTTTTTATATATTTTTTTTAAAAATTTTGCTTTGGGATCTATGTAGTTTTTGGATTGCATTCTGGTGGGAGCTGAGCCTTGTCTCTCCCTGTACCCTGTAGCCTCCCAGGTTAAAAGGTTACAGTAACCAAACCTCTCTTCACCTTATTTTGAGCTTGTTTTCATCGATGCTCTCAAGTGCTGGGCTCGCAGAAGCCGTGCGGGGAGCTCTTTCCTCGCAGCGCAGCGGGCTGGCCCGGAGAGCTGCCAGGCGGCAGCTTCTGCACCCCCCAAGAAACCATTTGGGGTTTAGGAGGGGAGGAAAAAAAAGCCCATAAATCCACTTGGTGATCCCCGAGCCCTTCAACCCGCAACCCCTTGACCCGTGAAAGCTGCTGCCTGATGCACTAATCATGAGAACAGAGCGAAGACGAGACCCTCTCGCAGGCGAAGGAGAGCAGCCGTGTGCCCCCGGCCGTGACCGAAGCTACAATTAACACCCCGGGAATCAATATTTTAAATGGATTCTCCTCCATTTGCACCGAGAGGAGAGGAAATGAGGGAAAAGAAGCACTTGGCCGCTGACAAGCTTCACGACTTGGAAGTCAGAGGCCGTTAGCCGGGCTGTAAGTGGCAGCACAGGTTGCTGAATTATTCATGGCTTCATTAGGATACTTCAAGGTATAGGCTGCAGTTATATTTAATCTGCTCATGCATGCAGGGGGAAGCAATTTGTACCCGTTTAATTCCGGGTCCGTATTCTGAGGATGTTAAACCATCAGAGGGTTTTCAGTGGGGAGGACTCTGCTGAGCCGCGCTCCGGCTTTACCTGCAAAGCGGGAGGCACGTGTCGGAGGTGGCAACTGCGCCGGGTTTTTTCCTCAGGGCTTGTCCTTTGTCTGCCCAGTCTCCCACCGCTAAAACCTCCGTTCACGTCGCGCCCGGGCGCTCGGTGAGGAAGACATCAAAGCAGGGGGACAAGATGAAATGTGTCCAGCTGCCCTGTGTCCTGGCAGAGCTGTTAGCTCTACCTCCCACACCAGACACTTATTAACGAGGGCTCTTCAATATCGCTGCTAATAGCCTCCATTATCAGGATGTTTCTGTTAAGCGAAGTCGTGTTGTGTTGCCTCTCCCGCGGTCACGGCACCATCTGCTCCCAGAAAAAACGTTTTGTTCATCTGCTCTGCCCCAGTAGGGCTCTCAGCTGTCCTCACGTTTGGTTTGGGGAACAATAGCTGCGTTGGGGGGGGTATGGAGGCAGGAGCTCTGGGAGGACAGTACCGGTCACCTTCTGCCTTCAGCTGAATCGGTGTTTCTTCCACTGAATCGAGTTTTGTTCCCATTCCTCGCTTTCTTTCCTGGTGTCTGGGCAGCTCCGCGCGTCTGTCGTTTGAGAACGTCTCAAAGCACAAATGTGCACGTCCAGAGCGATTTAATAATTCATCGTCCGGGCACCAATTTCTTTGTGTTGAGAGCGAAAGAAAATCTAATGAGTTAATGGTTTTGCCAAGTCTGTTGTTTGTCCCTTCCTAAAAGCAACAGTTCGGGTGATGCCAAACCCTTCCTCTCTTTCCTCAGGTCCATGACTCCAGCCCAAGCAGACTTGGAATTTCTTGAGAATGCAAAAAAGCTGTCGATGTACGGAGTCGACCTTCACCAAGCCAAGGTAAGAATCAGCACATGGGGATTTCGTGACTGGATTATCCTGCCCCTTCCAGGAGCAAGTTTACCTGTTCCAGGAGGCTTGATTAGAAAGATCGGGGAAACGAGCTGGCTGCTGGTGCAGAAACACAGACACACAACAGAAATGCCCCGAGCACTGTTGTGAGTGTTGTAAGAGAAGTGATTCTTCCCGCTTTGCTTCTGTATTTGTACAAGCAGCTTTACAGAGGTGCTGATGTAGACAGGTCCTTGCTCTGAGGAACTTAGAATTTAAGGCTCTGACCCTGCAAGGTGAGCTCGGAGAAATGCAGGAGAGACTCCAGAGCAGCCCTTGGAGCAAACAGCATCGCGGGAGGGGTCAGCAGGAGGGAGGAGGTTGTCAGAAGAGCCCTGGCTGCCCTGGGAGCTGGGATCTGGGTGGTGGGAGATGGATTCGGGGGAAGACCCAAAGGGGTAATTGGAGGACAAATGTTGACCTGGAACTTGTAACCCCGGCACTGCGCAAATCCTCATCTGCTTTCCCAGGACTTGGAAGGAGTGGATATCACTCTGGGAGTCTGTTCCAGTGGCCTTCTTGTTTATAAAGATAAACTGAGAATCAACCGCTTCCCTTGGCCCAAAGTCCTCAAGATTTCCTACAAACGAAGCAGCTTCTTCATTAAAATTCGGCCCGGGGAGGTATGTTTCGACTTCTTTGAGCTCGTGTCTTCTTTAGTTGCCTTCTGCCAACGTGGGTGCTTCACTAACACAAAGCAGGGAAAGGGAGGAAGCTTTTCTCTGTAGGGTTTCTGGTCTGGCCTTGGTATTAAGCTCAAGAAGATCCCACTGACCTCGCTGAAGCCATAAACCGGCGGGTGACAATTTAAACAACGTGTCATCCAGCACCACCTCCTGGCACCGCCTGGTATTCCCAGCATCCAGAGGCGACCAGTAGGAAGTTGAAATTGGGAGAGGAATAGCTCCTTTTTTTTTTTTTCAGAAGCAGGTCAAGACAAAGGCTCTTTGTCTGGCTTTCATTTAAAAAAATATTAAAAAGATGCAGACGTACCTTTTCACTTAGACTGCAGCAGGTCAGGGAGTTGCTGCCCTGATGCTTTCTCTTGTGAACAGAGAGACCCCGGAGCAGGCTGGTCGCTGGAAACGTGGTGGAGAGAGAGGCTGCAGTGGGTATCTGCCTCTTCCCTCCTCTTCCTCCTTCAGCTGCCATGACCCAGCCTTGCAGGGAGGTGAATTTTTGACCCCATCCCACAGCTGTGCAGTCTGACAGGAGGTAGATGAGCCTGAATGGCTGCAAATCCCATGACACACAAAATCCTGGCGCACCCTCAGAAATGCCCGGGCTTGTGGCCACGCCATGTCTTTTCTCAGACCTGAGCTCCTCCTGCACGTTGTGGAGCGAGTTGAGCTGCCGTTTGTGCCGCAGCAGAACAGGTCGATGGGCTGGAGATTGGACTCCTGCCACATTTATTTCTTGCTATACCTAAATCACTTTTGTTTTCTGCAGCAAGAACAGTATGAAAGTACAATTGGGTTCAAGCTACCAAGTTACCGGGCAGCAAAGAAGCTGTGGAAAGTATGTGTTGAACATCACACGTTTTTCAGGTGGGTTTTTGAAATGGTAGGTTTGCCTTGAGTAGCTCATGCTTCAGATTAGCTGCTGAAAATGAGTGCTCCTGCGGTGTCCCTTAGAGTTTCACAAAAATTGGAGCGAGATGGTTGTGGAGACATTAAGTGTTTATATAGCAATAAATTCGTAGGCAGCTTCTGCTTCCTAAGATCCATAAGACAGAGGTCTGCCGGCTCACGTAGCTGTGGGGCTCATACTTAGTGCGTGTTGTTTTGTTCATCAAGTGCGTGCCAGAGACTTCTTTAATTTGTATTTGAATTTCTCTTTGCCTGCCGCTTCCTGGCTGTGAAAGTGTGATTTTTAACTCTGACGTGGGGTTTTTCAGGCTGACTTCCACCGAGGCCATCCCGAAGAGCAGGTTCTTGGCGCTGGGCTCCAAGTTCCGCTACAGCGGCCGGACGCAGGCGCAGACGAGGCAGGCGAGTTCCTTGATCGACCGCCCCCCTCCCCAGTTCGAGCGGACGGCGAGTAAGCGAGCCTCCAGGAGCCTCGATGGAGGTGAGTGCTGGAGCCCCTTCCCTCTTCGCGGCTGGATTCTGTAGGATGCTGAAATAGTCCTTAAACACCACCTAAATTCCCTGCTTTAAAAAAAACAAACCAAACAAAACATAATTTCTCACTTCAATACAAGACCTGGACATAAAGCGCAGTACTGGCAAGAACTGACTGACGAAGAGGATGTAGGTGGATGCTGGAAGCTTATGGCAAAGTTCTGTTTGTAACGATATTTCCTCATCCAGTCTCAACGCATTTTCCTTTCAGCGAATCAGGAGTTCTAGGATTTGTTTTGTTCAGTGCAGCTTCTTAAATTACACAGTTTTCCTTGAGGGGGAGATTTTTTTGCCACAACTGTTTGAAACCTTTTTTTTGGCGTCTGTTAAAGCGATGCTAAGGTCAATGTTTGTGGCATGCTAACCAGGTGGGCTGGTCCCTGATGTTTTTAAAAGAGCCCAAATAGCAGCAGGCTAGAGGAGGGGAAGCGTGGAAGAGGGAAATGCCTTTGCTCCCCTACATCTGGATCATGGGGTTTAAATTAGGATCCAGGGAGAGGGGAGCATCCCTGTGCA